TAGTATCAGGTGGGGCACATTTTAGTTGACTTAGTGAATCTCTCAGGCTTTTTACAGGAACAAGCCTGCATTCCCCTCCCCTCTCCCCACAAAAACCTAGGGTAGGGTATGCCTGCATCCTATGCCTTCACCCAAAGACATGGATGAGTGGGAGTATGGGCACTGGTAGTGGGGGTGAGCCATCTGATGTGTGTCTCTGGTCCCAGAAAGTCCTGACAGGTATGGGTGGCCATATGAAATGAAAGCTCTTGTCAATATGTCAATGAACATGTGCTTAAAGGTCTAGTGACCCAATTCAAACTAGCAAAAAAAAAAAAAAAATATATATATATATATATATATATATATATATATATATATATATATATATATATGGTTCTTATAACAGAAATACCAGGATCTATTGGACATTGGGCTTCAGGCCTGTTTGCATCTAGGTGCTAAATTATCACAAGAAGTCTGTCTTTAGCCATCTCTTGGCTCTGTTTTTTTCTTTGTTGTCTTTATTCCTAGATAAGGTTGTTTTGGTTTCTGTTGTCAACTCTGGGCTTCATTCTAATAGTCTGACAGCATGGTGAGAAGACGGGACCTTTCAATAATTCCAGCAAAAGTCCCAGGTTTCATTCTAATGTGATTCCGTTTGGGTGACAGGCTGATCCCTCAAGTAATCACCATGGCAGGAGATTGGAATGTTCTAATTGGCTACATTGGATTGCAGGATCTGAGATTGGGATAGAGCCCGCCTGAATGACCAGGACTGGGACTGGTGGTGAAAAATCATTTTAGCTTCAAAGTTAAGTGAGGAGTGTGGTAAAGGGGGGGCGAGGAGAACCAACGGAGACCCGTTAGATGGATTTTCTGGTTCTAGTGAAGGGATTAAAAGGGAAGCTAATGAGAATTTCTAACGGGAAAAATGGCAAGCCCAATCTGGGGACCATGATATACCAGCAAGCGGCTGGGCATGGGGACAGTCGTCATCGTGCCTTCATACACCCCTCCTGGTTCTAGACACAGGCTCCTCTTTCTCCTGAGCCTGTCTCCAGGGAGTGGAGGAACTGGAAGGAGCAGGTGGAAGGACACATGGCAGCCCTTCCAAACCAGGTCTATGGCAAATAGCCTGTGTGTCAGAGTCGTGAGAGGGGGCCCCCCTGCCTCCTAAGCAGCCGGATTGTGAGACATTTGCAAAGATGTTAACCCCACATAAAAAGTGTGCCATTTGATAATTATGTAAATTAGCTGGCAATTAGATAATGTCACTCACTTTCCTGCGAGATTCCCACATAACAGATGAGCGTCTGCGTTTCTGCACAAGCCCAGGCCTTCCATGCAGGTTCTGGGGCAAACCACCCGCATACCTACAGCTGCCTGGGCCATCCTATGGCTCAAGAGATGGGGGAAGCTGGCTGACTGGGTGGAGAGGGCTCTCTGCTCCCATTTTCCCATTTCTTGAGCCTCGTGTAGCTCTTCTAGAAGGCTAGAGAAGGCTGAAGAACATATGCTGGGGCAGTCAGCTCGAGGCCTGTGTTGGTCATTGTAAGGTCATCTTTAGCTTTTGGCTGTATTGGTGTTTTTCAGAGGCCATGGGAATGGCCACAGTCCAAGAAAACAATGGAAGGGCAGACCATAGGGTGTCAAGCCTAGATAAACCCAATTCTGATGTTACCAGTCCTGAAATCAGATGCTGCCTGGCACCTGCAGGAAAGAAAACTTGGTTTTCCTCAGCCAGCCTTTTCCATCCCTGTCGATGCAGGCAGAAGAACGTTGGTATCTCCAGTGTTGGTCTGGGCTGGAGGGAAAGACTGTGAATCTGATGTGAGAGACTCAGCAGGCAGGATGGAGCCGTCACCCCAGAACAGGCTGGGAAAATTCCCATGATCCTCCTTGGAGGGCAGTGTTCCTGGGATGCTTAAATCTTCATTCATAGGTTTCCTCTGCTTACTAGGCATGTGCTGCTTTGCCTTTTGGAGTCATGTGAGTTTGGCATCCGGATGGCTCAAGATGGCAGTCGTTGTGTACAGTGGGGTGGTGTGGAGGCCACTGCATGGAACAGAAGTCAGAAGTCAGAGGATCCATGGGGATGTTCTTCTTCTTCTGTTTTCATTTTGCATTCTTTACACATGTTTCCTGAGCTCCCACTCCATGCCAAGGCCCTGTGGCAGGAACCGTGGTGAAGCATACCCTGCCCACCGGGAGCTCCCTGTCAAGCTTCTAGAGCCGAGGCTCTTCACCACTGTGCTTTGTGTTTCTGAAGCACACTTGACCCCACTATTTTTTGATGGCCTTGAGGGCAAGGATGGTTTCTTATTCTGGTTTGAAAGAGCAGTGTCTGGAATGAATCGGAGCTTAATAAACCTATTGAGCTGAACAAGTCATTTAATTTATCCAGACAAATAAGTGACTTTCAGAGGCTCAGAGGTAAGTTGATAGATAGTATAGACCAGTCTGGAAGTTTCAAGCATTTCCCATGTGCCTGCTCATCCATAATATGAGACCTTCCATCTTTGTGTCCTTTCTTCCCACAGAGGGCCCCATTGGCTTTGGCCATCTGAGCCTGGGCCTTGCCTGTCTTCACATATTCCAGCCTGCTTCAGTCGCAAGGACTTTGTGCTGTTTCTTCTGGAACATTCTTCCCATGGCTAATTCCCTCACTCTCTTTCAAGGTTTTCCTTAAATCTCACTTTCTCAAAGAGTCAGATTTGTGGTGTTTGACTATTTCCATGGTGTAAATACTCCTAGCCCGGTTGATTTCATTCTACCAAAGTGACCTTAACCACACGTTTCTGAAGTTTTAACAGTTGGCTCTGACAAAGTCCACATGTTTGGGCACCGCCACACTGCTGTGTCTGCGTTCCAGGGACGTAACTTTGGCACTATGGGAGGTACGCATGCCACACTTTGGGAAACACTACTTGGATAAAACCTTTTCTAGAAGAAAGGCTTTCCTTATGCTGGATTTAATCAACCTCTTACTGATTTGGTTTGTTTGTTCAGTGGGAATAGGTGTTTGTTCCTGTTAAGGAACATTTTCCTCTTCAAAGCTGGGAAAGTTTGCTAACATGGTCATCATAAAAATAGTGGACAGTGATGGTCTAATAGAGACTATGGTGAATTATTAAATGGGTCAATTAATAAGCAGCTATTTTCACAGCTCTCAGAAATTATACTCCTTGCTCTTATGTGAACAAAGAAGTCTCTGCTTGGCTGGGTGGGCCAGAGTCTGCTAGAGTCAACACTTGATCACCCACTTGACTTTGACTGGGTGTTGGTGCATTTCCAACCAGTATAAAATATATGTAATATGTTCTAGGTTCTAGCTCTTCCTCATTGGTTGGTCATTCTGCAGTTTTTGTAGTTGTTAAAAAAGTACTTGAGGTTTTATGTCCTGCCCCTCCCCCACAGACAACCATGCCCTCCCTCATGCGCAGACACATGAGGATTTTTCTTCCCATCCCCCCCTTTTTTTTTTTAAAGATTTTTTAAAATTTATTTGACAGACAGAGATCACGAGTAGGCAGAGGGGCAGGCAGAGAGAGAGAGAGGAGGAAGCAGGCTCTCCGCTGAGCAGAGAGCCCGATGTACATCTCGATCCCAGGACCCTGGGATCATGACCTGAGCTGAAAGCGGAGGCTTTAACCTGAGCCACCCAGGCGCCCCTTCCCATCCCTTTCAGTCTGGAAATAAGAAAGTAAAGAATGTAATATTTACCGATCACCTACCATGTATATAGTCTCATGCTAGGATCTTCCCATACCTGATCTCATTATAACCTCTCTCCAACCTTAGAAAGACACTTCTTTCCTCTGCTTTACCAAGGAGGGAATAGAAGCTCAAATACATGAAGAAGTTGGCTCAGAAGTTCCATATAAAAGAACTAGGATTCAGGCATAGCTTTTCTTTAAGTCTTGAAACACAGTTGTTTTTTTTTCCTGTAAGAACTTTTCACCAACATGTATTAAGAGATGAGAGTTGTTTTGCTCATTACTCACTTTCTAATTTATTTCTGCTGATTTTTATAAATATTTCTTTCCAAAACTTAAAGGTGGAAATCTGTCTTAGGCCGCCTACACCCAGGCATTGGATTGTCAAATTGAAAAAGAAAAATCTAAAAAGAAATCAATGTCATTTCGTGCCTCTTAACCAGTAAATAGTTAAAATTACATGTCTGTGCTCGAGTGTATAAAGTGTTACACTTACCTTAAAAATAAATTTTAGCTATGTGACCCTCTGATATGGATACTGTAAAAATGTGCTGATACGGCTTTGGGAGTTTTATACTATTTTTGCACATGGAAAAACCGCGCTCATCGTTAGGCACTGAGCTCAGGGTCCTGCTACAGCTCTGCGCGAACCTGAGTCCTCTCTCCTATTTTAAGCACCAGGCACTATGGCAATCACTAGAGCAGCCTGGCTCCTGGTCGGCAGTTCATCAATATTTGTGAAATAAGGTGCAGTGTTTTCCTGACACCGCCCTGATCTTTTTCTTCTTTCTGCCTACCCCCCTTCTCCCTGCAGGTGTGTTCCTGGAGTCCTGAGAGGCAGGTAATGGGCAGGACTGCCTCTGGCCTGCACCATGAAGCCTGAAGCTGCTTTGGCTCTGCCCTGGGCCCTGCCCCGCCTGAGCCCTCAGCTTTGGGCGGCCCCGCTCCCTGCAGCCCCCTGCTGCTAGGAGGTAAAACTTCAGGGCTGGTCCTTGGCCTGTTTCCGCCTTTCACCCGGCTCACCTCACCACCGCTCACACCTCCTCCATCACGGCAGCCCCAGCCCAGCCCTCTCCCCGGCCTCCCTGGCTGGGGTGTTCGGGGGTCCGCTGGGAGGAGCACGTTGCTGAAGCCTTCCACCCACCGAGTACCTTCTCCTCCTCGAATCAAGGCCTCCGGATCCACATGGATAGCTGAGATCTTTTCTTGGAGGACACTTGGCTCCTCACTCTGGTCTCCCACCTCCCCAACTGACTTTCCTCCTCTTCTGCTGCCCGGCCTTCCCCGTCTGCCTCATTGTTGAATTTCCTGCTTGTGTGCCCATCTGGGGCCGTCTTACTCACGGTCCTTCTTCCTTACCCTCTGGGTATTAGTGCGTGTGGGCCTCCGTCCTCTTGTGTGCTCTCTGTGCCCCCCACCGGCCCGGCCCATCTCCTCTTCCTCTCTCCCTTCCGCTGCCAAGGAGGGGGGTTCGTCCCCCAAGGGCTGTTCCCTGCCCAGCGGCTCCTCCGGGATCCATCCTGGCAGCCACGATGAGCTTCACCGCAAACTCAGTTTTCTTCACCTTGAAGGTGAGCGTCCTGCTGGGGTCGCTGCTGGGGCTCTGCCTGGGCCTCGAGTTCATGGGCCTCCCCAACCAGTGGGCCCGCTACCTCCGCTGGGATGCCAGCACGCGCAGTGACCTGAGCTTCCAGTTCAAGACCAACGTGTCCACGGGGCTGCTCCTTTACCTGGATGACGGTGGCGTCTGTGACTTCCTCTGCCTTTCCCTGGTGGACGGCCGCGTGCAGCTCCGCTTCAGCATGGACTGTGCAGAGACCGCTGTGCTGTCCAACAAGCAGGTGAACGACAGCAGCTGGCACTTCCTGATGGTGAGCCGCGACCGCCTGCGCACGGTGTTGGTGCTCGACGGCGAGGGCCAGGCGGGAGAGCTGCAGCCTCAGCGGCCCTACATGGATGTGGTCAGTGACTTGTTCCTGGGTGGAGTCCCCGCCGACATTCGACCTTCTGCCCTGACCCTGGATGGAGTACAGGCCATGCCCGGCTTCAGAGGATTAATCCTGGATCTCAAGTATGGCAACTCAGAGCCTCGGCTTCTGGGGAGCCAGGGTGTCCGGTTGGATGCCGAGGGACCCTGTGGTGAGCGTCCCTGTGAAAATGGCGGGATCTGCTTTCTCTTGGATGGCCACCCCACCTGTGACTGTTCCACCACCGGCTATGGAGGCAAGCTCTGCTCGGAAGGTAAGACCTTCGTTCCCTAGCCCTCTCTTGTTAGACACCCACCTGCCGGGTTGGGTGAGGGCCAAGACCCATGGTAGAAACCAACGCTGCTGTTGAAGGCCATCTTTAGTTACATGTTAGATAATTGGGTCCTTTTCCTTCGAGGAGGGGTTGGAAATCCTTTGATTGCTCTCAATGGAAAACCCATCAAATCTCATCAGGAAGAGGATCCCAGCTGCTCAATCATGAGCTCTTTCCTCAAAGGGCTAGATGGAATAGAATGCAGGATATGAGCCCAGCTCAGCTCCTTCCACTGGAGCGCAGCTTAGCAGGGTCAGTGCAGAGCAAGAAATCCAATAGAAATGGGGAAAGTAGCTATCTCTGTCCTTCCTGATCCCTTGAGAGTTGGACCCTTGGGATGGATGGGAAACTCCCCATCATCTTCTCCTTAAGCCCCAGGAGGAAGAATGCCCATGCAAAGGAGAATGAGGGTGGATGGATTCCAGGCCATGTTTGGCCCGCTATCATTCCAGCCCTTCTACTTGCTCCTCCTCCCACAGTCTTTGAGGAAAGTGTCTGGAGGGTAGATGAGGCAACTGGGGATGGGCCTACTCAAGACCTCGTTCTAGCAGCAGGCTTTTTCATATCACGTTCTTCTTTCCTGTCCTCCCTTTGCATCTCTGTGTACTGAGAATGGTATAGGAAAACATGGAGACCGACAGGACCCTTGTCCAGCCAAGCACAGAAGGGAACTGGCGATACTCAGCATAGCCTTGGAGAGCCCCCCAAGTTCAACTACAGCTTCCCAGGGAGAGGGGACTCAAACCCAAAGACTTAGACTGCCCTCACCTCATTCAGTGAATTTTGACTGTTTGGGATCACCTATGGGAGGAAGTGGTCCAGACTCTACTTTGACAAACACTTAAAAATCCAGATTCTTGGACTCTGGGACTCACTGAAGGCCCAGCTTTGAGCAGGAGGGAGCGTTGAAATGACAAAGAGCGTGAGAACTGACCACATGGGTGTGTGTGCTGGGGTTTGGAATGAGGAAGAGGTAAAGTTCAATTTACTCCTGTTCTTTTGGAATTAATCCCTGGATTTCTCTAGAAATGTATTGCCATCCCACACTGGTCTCCATGGAGGTGGTGGGATGGTGTAGGGCGGAACAGTGGTTCTCAACCTTGGCGACACATATTAAGATCACTTAAGGGAGTTAAAAACTCTCAGGCCACCCTATGGACCAGTTCAATCAGAATTTGGTGTGGGGTGGGGGGTGAGGTGTGAGATCCAAGCATCTGTATATTTTTAAACTCCCCAGGTGATTCTAGTGTGCAGCCAAGACTGAGAAGCAATAGGACAAGGGAGGTCAGGTAGGTGGGGTCAGATGAGTGTTTCAGCACTGACCCCAGGGTTTCTTCCTTCTGATGAGGCCCCTGTCTTGTGGCTTGTAATAAAAAATAGTGTCTGCAGGGGTTCCTGAAACCATCCCACCACAGCCCACCCAGCCTAAAGAGGGTGTAACTGATATGAACTTTAGCCACAATTGTTAAAATTTTTTTTAAATCAAAGCGAATTTTATTTTCCAGATGGCACATGCTGGAGACTAGGACACCTTGAGGGGTCTTGTTGGAGGCCCCTTTGTAGGTCACGTAGGGGCGACTGGAAAAGCCTCCCCAGGCCTCTGTGGCTGCTTTCCCCAGCTGGGCTGCCCTGGGCATCACATCTCCCTGCCTGTGGGTGGGCTACAGGAGAGGGAGATTCAAGACACGCATGCCTCCTTTTTTTGGCTTCTTTTTCCCCCACGGGGCCCATTGGAAAAGCGGTTGGGGAAGAGCAGCCGAGGCAACCCCAACCCACAAAGCCACTTTGGGAATGTGGTTATGGAAGCACTTCTTATAAGCAGGTGCCTTCTGGAGCTGACTGCTGTTCCAAAGCTTCTTGGCTTTGGAGAAAGTTCTTCCTGAAGACGCTGACATGATCACTTGTTTTTCTCATTCGCCCAAAGGATATGTTCTGTTCTCAGAACTTGCATTGAAAGCTGGCATTCTTCCTTTCTAGGGACTAGGGTGTTTGCAAGTGTGTTGTTAACTTGCTGATTACCCCTGATTGCATTTTTTGTGTTTAAAAAGAACTCATTTCCTCTGGGCAGGTCTGGATCAGCACTTTTCTGCTGGAAGAATCTCTATGCTGTATATGTGTATGATTTGTCTTCTCTCTCTTGGTGTGTATGTGTCTGTGTGTGAGTCAGGTCTCCAGAGGCATTTTTTAGAGCAGAGTATAGGCAGTCCATTTTTTAATAGCTAAATACAACATGGATATTTTAATAATAGTTCTTTCTGCAGGGTTCAGATCGTCTAGTGGCTGTGGATTGATACCCCTATCTGAAGACGGCAAACACACGGCGCAGCTCATTTATTCTCTCAATACATAAATAGAGTAAATGAACTCTGTAGTAACAGTAACACTTGGTTGGCTCAGAACAGAGCAGTGCAAAGGTTGAGGTGAGGGTGGCTGCTGGGGGAGGTATCAGAATTTACTGTTGATAACTTGGAGCCTGTTGATTCTGGTAATTGTCATCATGTCTAATCAATCACAAAAAAGAAAAAAAAAGCACTACAGGCTTTTAGAAAAGATCTGTCTCTCCACACGTAGTTAATTCCTAGATAGTCAGCCGGTGGGGTGGGCGGGGCAGATACCCACCTATAAAATATTAAAGGGAAAAAAATTACAGGAGCTGCTGTCAAGTAGATCTTGCACAAAACAAGATAAATAGCCCAAATAAATGCTTCCCATTTTCCTCAAGATGTGGGGAGGTGGGTAGTGAGGATGCCTCCATCCCCCACCGTGCCCCCTTTCAGCTGCGCATGGCAGGGACCCGAAACCAGGGAACTTATTCCAGAGGTGGGTCCTGTGGTTGTCGCAGTTTGTTAAGAATGGCCTTGACGTGATCGTGTGGGGGCTTGTACCCAGGACGGAAGGTCCATTGTGTACTTCATGCTCTAGCAGCTAGGGAGCAGGAATTGCTGGGAGGCCCCTGCAGCTTTAGATGGATGTGGTCGAGGCCTGTTGGAGGCACTCTCTGTGGTCCATTAGCTGCTAGCATGCCCGCGGCATTGATGTTTGCTCGGCCTGTCTGGCTTTCCATGCCTTGATGGCTCCAAAATGTCTCCATGCTGCACCCTGCGAAGAACGCACAGATGGGCCCATCTCCTTTATGTGCTTTGGGCTATTTTGACCCCGCAGTGGGTATTTCTTTACGAAGACCCAGAAGATACCGGAGGTAGCTGCTATGAGCAAGCTGGGCCCGGAGGGTCAGAGGTCGTGGACTCAGTGTCTTCTTTCACATGGTGAAATGTTACTCGCTCTAGCTCCAGGCTGAACTCCACAGAGCCTGCTTGAGAAAACTTCATCCCAAGGCTCCCAGCCTAAGTAATGGTCACATTGAATGTGATGGAGAAGAGGTCCCAGAGTTTTACTTCTAGGTGTTATGTTTATAAGTAAAATGTTTTGGTGCTCAACTTCAGACTTGTCAAGGCTGACATTTTATTTTTTTAAAAGATTTATTTATTTATTTGACAGAGATCACAAGTAGACAGAGAGGCAGGCAGAGAGAGAGGAGGAAGCAGGCTCCTCGCGGAGCAGAGAGCCCGATGAGGTGCTCGATCCCAGGACCTGAGCCGAAGGCAGAGGCTTTAACACACTGAGCCACCCAGGCGTCCAAGGCTGACATTTAATCTTGCCTTTTTAGGAAGGGCTTGGAGGACTGAAGAAGTAAAGATAGTTCAAAATGATTTTAAAATTCTGCGTCTCTATTCTGGAAGATAGTCTGGCTACGGCATGGCATATGCACTGGTTTTGGTCTAGCCCAGTCTGTCCCCTTATGGGTAGCCTGGAATCTCACTGTGCAATGAAGAGGTATCCTGAGCTCCCCCTAGAGAGCTATCCCCTCAGGGGTCATTGAGAGTTTATTATTACCTTGAAATGAGTTTAAAATTGATTGTTTATTTTTAAACCATTCCTAGTTATGAATGTGCATGTATTGAATTTCTTAACAATCTTATAGTCATGAAGAATTGATTTACTCCCAAGGTGTGTACATTTCAGTACTGAAGAGCTCATTTACTGTGATGTCAGCCTGTTACCTGCGGGGGTAGGGCCAGGGAAAGATGGAGAAGGCATCACTTGTTGATTTCTCCCTCCGGGTCTCATGCCGTGGGCCTGCCTGTCACATACCACTTGTGTCCACATTTTTAGGTTCATTCGGTGAAGAGGCATGAGGTCTTATTCAGTTGGGGGAGAAAATAAATCATTGCGTTCTCTTCTTGCTGCCTTGGGCAGGTGCCCAGACCAGAAGCTGCTGTCTTGAGTCTTAGCTCTTAAGTTTTCAGGCATTTCGACTCCCACAGTGAGGTGTAGGGGTGGGTGTCAGCAGTAGGGGCCTGAGCCTTACCACAAGCACACTGCTGAGTGGCACCCAAGGGCCTCCCCTTCCCATCCATGACATCTGACCCAGGTTGGTTGGATGGATGGCTCAACACAGCCGGGTGGCCTTGGTAAGCCTTCCTGAAGGCGAATTTCAATTACTTTCCTTTTTATTGAGAATTTTGTGACTCTTTCCCCATTTATCAAAACCAGAACTGGGATGGAATGGTATACCAAGAGACTGCTTGCCCCTGAGCATTTACCAAAGGCCAAAGACAAAGAATGTTATAGTTAAGGCGGCAGTGATGGGCCCACCTGATCCTTCTGCTTTGGGCATTTGTGTAAAAACACAAACATCTCTCCTCCCCTCCCCAGTGCACTTCCTGCTGGGATTGTAACAGGGCATTGTTGTTCCCAACCTGTGCGACCTGGCCTGGCCTGGGGCTGGGGGCCTGCAGGGGATTGGTGAGAGTCGTCGTCGGAGAGTAAAGACAGTCTCCTTGCCAAATCCTTCTCCCTGGTGTGGAGACGGTGGCACACAAGGGAGGCCTTACAACATGCACAAAGGGTAACTGTGGCTTCTGAGACCTGATTCCCAC